GCGGCCTATCTGGACTGGTTGTGCGCCGTATACATCCCGTACTACGGGACGTGGGGCCGGCGCATGCGGCCGTGCCGCGCCGTCTGCCGCCGGGTGCAGCAGGTGTGCCCGTTCTTCCACCCGTCGGAGCGTCCCACCGCCAACACCCAGTACGCCGGCGAGCCAGCCTTCTTCTGCGAAGGTGACCACCGGATGACGCGGCACGGGCACAATGGGGGTGGGGGGGTGGGGGGGGGGGGCTGGTGCGTCGACGGATCGTGAGATGGAGTCATGGCGCAATGCAAAGGAGGGGGAGGGGGGGGGGGGCTAATAAGCTATGTTGCAGTGGCCTCGTTAAGCAAAAATTCATGAAATTATAGCTACATCTGAGGAACTTTGGCCTCCTTTCTGTCAAACGTTTCAATTCTAGACCAGACGAGAAACATTCGCTTGTGTCCGCATGTCAAGAAATCCGTCAGCCGCATTGTGAGATAACAATTAGCTGATAAGCCCAATAAGGTGGAACAGGAAGCTCTAAGGAACCTATATTTAAATAAGATCATCTCGCACTTGTCATCAAAGGTCGGCAGAAACAGCAAAGTTCATTTATGGATATCTTGCGTTTCTCTTTGGGTTTTTGGCATGGTGTGCTTGGCAACCAATGCTTCTGTAACCACGACATCATTCCATTTCTCTGTCCTTTATGATGCGACCCAAATGCAAAATTTCCATCTCCAGCTGATCGTCTTGAGTCTGGCCGTTTCAACATCGCTCTGACGACAGCTTGTACCCGCTCGCAGACAAGGACATTCCGGATATCTCGCCCTTCAGTAACGGCACCATGTACGGTGACGACGACTGCTGCTTCCACGCGGCCTGCGCCGGCTGCGGCGACGGCGGCGATTGTGACGCGGCCACCTGCGCCGGCTACGCCGCCTGCCCCCCAGACTGGCGCGCTGGCAGTGTGGCGCTGGGCCCAGCGCGCTGGCCGCACGTGACAAACGGACAGGCGTCCGGCGCCAGCGCAGCGGCGCACGAGCGAACGGGCCGCCGGCCACGACGACGACGGCGATGGCGGCGATGGCGGCGATGGGGGCGCTCTGAGCTCGCCAGGACCCCCCGCCGCTCGCCGCCCGCCTCCGGTGCGCCGGGGCCGGCGGCGGGCGCGGGCGCAGCGCTGCTGGCGACGGCGGCCCTCTGGACGGCGCGGCTCGTGAGTGCAGCTGGCCGCACTCGCGCACGCCATCGGACCCGAACGAAACGTGCGCGCAGCGGCAGTGCGTGGCCCGATCATGTAACATAGAGGCTTCCAGTGACGACGGGACGAGCGGGCGCGTGCGAACGGCGCAGGTGGGTTTTGTACGAGCGGCAGCAGTGCGGGCGCTGATCAAACGGCAGACGGAGCGCCGCGTCGTCGATGTTGATCCGCCGTCGTAGGGGACGGCAGGCCGGCTACTGGCGCGGCGCCCGCGCTCATTATGGCCATTTCACCGAGGCTTCGTTGTGATACGAGGCGCTGGAGAGGCCGACCGCAGTCCCACTGCCAGGGGGGGGGGGGGGGGGGGGCGGCCGACTGCAGGCCCACTGCCAGGGGGAGCGGCCGACTGCAGTCCCACTGCTAGGGGAAGCAGCCGACCGCAGTTCCACTGCCAGAGGGAGCGGCCGACTGCAGTCCCACTTCCAGGGGGAGCGGCCGACTGCAGTCCCACTGCTAGGGGAAGCAGCCGACCGCAGTTCCACTGCCAGAGGGAGCGGCCGACTGCAGTCCCACTTCCAGGGGGAGCGGCCGACTGCAGTCCCACTGCTAGGGGAAGCAGCCGACCGCAGTTCCACTGCCAGAGGGAGCGGCCGACTGCAGTCCCACTGCTAGGGGGAGCAGCCGACTGCAGTCCCACTGCCAGGGGGAGCGGCCGACTGCAGGCCCACAGTGCGGGCATGCCGGCAGCTGACGGTCGTCGCCCCTCCCGGCTCACGCCTCTCGGAATAGATCGATGCCACACGGCCGCCTGGCACGAGGCTTTCTCTGAAAGGGTCCAACTCCCGAAGCACTGTGTTTCTTTGTTACAGTCTATCGAGCGTAGGCAGGCACGGGTATCAAAGCCGGGATGTTGCTGCATGTTGTTACAGTGGTTGATTCTAGGCGCTTTATATTGGACTGTTACATAGTTACGCAAGTTAAACGTGTATTTCAAATAATGCCAAATACAACTTGTCAGCTACCGCCGCGTTGTAAATGAAGCTGTTAGTTAGGCGAGTGACATGTATTTCCAAGACACACGCGAGGCCATCTTCGCAAAGGCCACAACTTTGGGGGAACGGCAAAACCGATAGAATAAATTGGTCACTTAAAATCACTAAAAAGTATCGCATATTGCTAAACGTAAAAATCCTGTGATTATAACTTACCAATTAACGCGAGAATTCATGTAGTGAATACAGTGACTTGATGTGATTAAGGTGTGTCATAAGAGCCAATACATTTATTGCCTAAATAGACAATGAAAGCGCAATGTCTCGCGGTTTCCAGAAACCACGAAGCGCAACATCGAAGCGATACATCACTCAACACACAGCACACGGCCCACGTGACACAGCACACAACCCACGTGACACAGCACACGGCCCACGTGACACAGGACACGAC